GGTTTATGGCTGGCTCTCTGTTTCAGGTAATGCCCTTGTACAATTTGGAGAACAATTAGATGAAAAATAATTGCTTTTATTGAGTCTAGCAGATGATTCTTTAAGCTGTTTTTTATTTGGAAATTCACAGCAATACCCATATGACATTCCAACTGAAGCATTTTCCTTTGAGATTTTCAAACAAGCCTTTGTTGCAGTTCAGTCTTGTGTGGTGCATTTGCAGGTAATTCAAACTCGTTTAGTTTCTCTGCCCCTCTTCAATATTGAGTGATTCTTTAAACTTGTTTATTATTGTTATTTATATGATCTAGATTTCTTAACTATCATTGTAATTAGCATTACCCTTGATTGTAATTAGATGAAGTGCTCGTGAGACAAAGATTCTCGTGCAAAATTATATTTCTTTTGTTCATGGGCTGTAGAGTAGTTTTATGATATGCATTCTAAAATTACTAATTTTGATCGGATACATTTAGAAGTGTTCGAGGACAAAAATTTATTGCTTTCACTCTTCTGAAATGCAAGAAGAAATTCCTGCTTTCTGTCCTTGCTTCATTGTCTGGAATTCTCTTAAAGATATATACAAGCATTCATTACAAAAATTTGTACTTGGGGCTATGCTTCCAGAGCCTTATATGGGAAACTTGGCTGGAAAGAAACAGTAGACTCTTTGAAGATAAGGCTGCCTCTCTGAATTCTTTTTGTAGCTATATACAGATGAATGCTTAGTAAAATTAAATTATTTGTAATTATCCCTTTCCGATGTTCCTCTCGAGAAGTGGTTCTCTTCAACATCCCCCCTCCCCCCTCCGCCCCTGCCCCTGCACTGACTATATCCTCTCCTTTTCAATGCAATCTTTGTTTCTTATAAAAAGAACATTACAAAGATTGGAGAGGCACTCACTTGTCAAATTACATCCTTCTATTCAAAATGAAAAGTCTAAATTCCTTTGTCAATTTTTTTTTTTCTTCAACATGTAATGAACTTACCAAACAGAAAGTTTAGTTCTATACATTTCTTATCAAAAAAAGAAAAAAAAAAAAAGAAGAAAGAAATCAAACTTCTTCTGTCATTCTTAATTCTATCCTTTTTGTACAAGTGCATGCATTTTTGCCAATATTGCAGATGCACTCACTTGTCGTCATGCCTTCCAAGTCAAACGAGAAGCCAGGATTCATATATTGTCTTTTTCTGCAATATTTCCGTTCTTGATTTTATTCTCTTTGGTGAAAGGTGGATATCTTTATGACAAGGCTAGTAGCTTAATCACTGTCCCAACAAACTGTATCTGATCCATGGCATTTTCAAATACTGTATCTAACTTATTTTCCTATGTGTTCCAGTAATCACAAGTTATCCATTGCTTATAAATAAAGTAAAATGTATTTTTTTATTCTACTTTTTTAAATCTATGCTTTTCTGAATGTCAAAGTTCACTTATTTTCCCCAGAAAGATTTTAAAGATTTTATCTGTCCTTAAGAACCTTTCAAATTGATTATCTAATGGGTTATTGAATTCAGAAAGTAAGTTTGGCTCGGAGATTTGCTTTGGTGCCTCTTGGCCCTCCACTCTTGGCTTATAGAAGCAATTGCAAGGCAATGTTAACTGCTGTTGATGGCGCTGTGGAACTAGTGGTTGATCGTTCATACAAGGCTGGGGAGTCGATCGCTGTTTGGTAAGTTAATTACATGATTGAAACTACGCGCGACTGTTCACATGATCGTTTATCTGTTAATGTTTTTGTTTGTGTTGCGCATCTTTTAGTTCCTTTAGCAAGATTTTCATTTTTGTTCAAACTCTTGAGAAAACAGGTGTGGGCCACAACCTAATTCAAAATTACTCCTGAATTATGGTTTTGTCGATGAAGATAATCCCTACGATCGCTTACTAGTTGAGGTAAGGCTTTGTTTTCTATTGCGAGTGATCTTTTGGACGAATGTCTTCTCTTAATGTTCTTATCCTATGTTTCAGGCTGCTTTGAATACTGAAGATCCTCAGTACCAGGATAAAAGAATGGTTGCTCAAAGAAATGGCAGATTATCAGTTCAAACTTTTAATGTATGCATTTAAAATACTGGCAGAAATGAAAGTTTTAAGTTATTGCGTTTCGTGAAATTTTATTTCCGACACAGGTTTACGCCGGAAAGGAGAAAGAAGCTGTCTTAGACATGCTTCCTTATCTTCGGCTTGGCTATGTTACTGATCCTTCAGAAATGCAGTCTGTTATTTCTTCTCAAGGCCCAGTATGTCCAGTAAGTTTTCTCTTGTCCACGTTCATTATTCTCCTTGTTTAAGGATTGGAATTTTAATAGAGCTCGTAAGTCGTTACTAAACATTTGTGTAAGATTTTAATATCTAGGTAGATGGTCGCGTTAAGATTTGGATCGTTTGATAAAACCCGAATAGAACTAGAATATGGTAAATGAATACAGTATACTCCCAAATATTTGATGTACTTAGATGCTCCTTCTCTTGAGGATTCTTACTCAAACCTAAAGCCCTTAAACAATTGCATACTTTTCTCTCCTCCCACTCACTCAATTTATAATCGAACTTCTTGATTTGGTTTCTTTGATATTCATGATCGGGCCAGAATTCCTTAGGCTAATTACTAATATGCCATTAGTTACACCATTTTCCTAGAGTTTGATTACATTTTCTTACTTGCCCCCAATATACCATTAGGCCAACCTAGGTGGTGGTTGGCGTACGGTTAGCTACATCTTCCTTGGCTTGTTCATTCAAGTTCGTCTTTTCCATACAAAGGATATGACATATTCCTGATACTAATATTGATTCCTGGATTCAGATGTGTAAAATCCTTAATTATAGGACATATTGATTCCCGACACGATCCCTGTCTTATTTTTCACGAGTTTTTATGGGGCGGACAGTTTGTAAAAGTTCTTGTAAACTTATAAACAATACTTGATGATACGCCTATGGTGAAACTTTTTTTTAGGTGAGCCCCTGCATGGAAAGAGCAATGTTGGACCAAATTGCTGATTATTTCAAGAGACGACTGGCAGGCTACCCGACTACCTTGAGCGAAGACGAGTCTCTGGTAATTTTTGCCTTCTATTTTTTGTTTCGATATACCTGTAATTCTTCTCTTTTGCTTACCCATGGATCGATCAGTTGGCTGATGGTAAATTGAACCCGAAGAAGAGAGTTGCTACCCAGCTTGTTAGAATAGAAAAGAAAATCCTTCATTCATGTTTGCAAGTGGCGATTGATTTCATAGATCAGTTACCGGATCACACTGTTTCTCCATGCCCAGCTCCCTATGCCCCCTTGTTGAGATAAGTAAGATACACAAAACCGTTCATGTTTGTTTATGGAATTCAACACTATTGTGTTTGCCCTGTTTTCATCATGTCTTTTCATCCACTTATAGTTGTAGATAGTTCTTCCAGCAAGTGGTCTCGTGTCTGTTTTACGATACTGCAACACCGAACTGCCACGCAAAATCCTCCATCCCAAGATGGAGCTGAAATTGAGGTCAGTTTGATCGACTCCCATTCATCTACTAAGCTTTTTGAAGCCTCAAAATGATTAACTGGGATGTGGGGCGTCCTTTAACCCACCGACTAATCCTGAACGAAGCTTCATCTATTATCCCCAGACGTCTAGCTCCCAGAGATAACAAATGTTTCAGGTTAAGTTTTCAACCGGGTTTTAAACTCTAAATGGATCGATGGTTAGTTGAACGATTTCTTCTTATAAACGTCAATTTAGTCGATCGGTGTATGAATGGATCGATGGTTGGTTCGAGCTGGAAAATTCTGAAAATGCCTGCTTGTCTAAACTGTGCTCGCCTTCTCTCTCTCTCTCTCGAGCTTGTTTGCTGGGTTTTGATATCATGTTGTTATTTGGCAGGTAGATCTAAAATAAGCTGATCACTACTTAGGATGATTGTGGTTTCAGAGTGACCAGTAATCGAAGATGATTATGGTGGCCATGGATCTCAAGGTACCGAGTAATAAAGCCATATTCATTCCTTCAACTCTCTGACCTCTACGCCATGTAAATAACCAGAATCACTCGATCTTCTTTCAATGCAATCCCTTCCCATTTTTAGCTGTTTTCGTTGGTACTCATACTCTTGATTAAATGTGTTCGTCATAGTTTAGCAGAATCCCAATGAACAAGCACCAAAGTTTTGGAGATCAAAGTCTAATGTGTTCGTCATAGTTTATCGTGTTTGTTTTAATCAGTTGAGCTATGCTTAAGTCGGCGACGGTGGTGTAATATTATGGAGAGTATATGTTTGTTTTAATCATTTGAACTATGCTTAAGTCGGCGACAGTGGTGTAAATATTATGGGGAGTATATGTTTGTTTTAATCAATTAAGTTATGCTTAAGTCGGGTGGTGTAATATTATGGGTAGATTGGATTATTTTTGTTAACTTATATTTTAAATTTAAAATATGTAAACATAATATTATGGGTAGTCGGTTGGTGTAATATTATGGGTAAAGATTATTAATGTTACTTTTAAAATTTTATCGATATTTTTTAAATATAGTATTAATGATAAATGTATTTTTGAAATATTATTAAAATTTTTAAAATATTTTAAAATAAAGTATTATTGATTTTCATTCCATTTTTAAATATAAAATATAAAATATAGAATTTTTTTTATTAATTCCAATTAAAGAAAGAAGGAAGTTAAGACGGTTGAGGGGACGACATGTCGTTCGATCAGCAATGACGGACTTGGATTTAATATGAATGCCAATCATATCACGTAAGATGGTTTGAGATCCGTATACAATTTCCCCTTTTATTTACAGTTCCCTCCAATCTTGACCAATCAAATTCCCACTGTCATTTACTTTCCTCACCGACTGGCAAAATTTAAATAAAATCTCCTCCCAACTGGGATCCACATGCAACGGCTACGATCGCCCGATCCATCCACTGGTGCCTAGAATCTCAACCGTCCAATTCCCTCCACCCCGTGGAAAAATCGCGGCCTTTGTGTTTTAGCATAGTAGACTAGAGAGTGTGGGCGTCGCACTTTCTCTCTCTTCTCTCTCTCTCTAGGTTTTCGACGCGCATTCTTTTTTCTTCTTCGATCTTCGATTTCGACTTCGACTTCGATTGGCGTTGTTTTTCTGCAAGTTTTCTCGGATTTGAGGTTTGGATGTTCTGCTTGCATCCTTCATTTGTGTTTCAAGTTCGATTTCAAGTTGTGGGGTTCAGTGACGGGTTCTGATCTACGCTTTTCGATTGGGGTTTTCTCGGGTTTTTAGTTGTTGGGGTGTTCTTGCGATTCAGGCCTGTGCGAGGGGTTTTGTTTCGTGGAGCTGTTGGGATTTACTCGCTAGTTCGTGAAGCGACTGGTAATTCATCTAGGGTTGTGGTCTGCTTTTCAATTTTGGGGTTTGTAGATGGTCAAATCTCGGGGGTTTTGTTGTACTTTGGTTATTTGTAAAGTATTTGGACTGGATCTACTTGCTCTCTTTTCGTAATTTATACTACTGACTTATAGGTCATTTAAAATAAAAAAAAATTGTTGTGATTTGTTCGTACTTTTCCTTATATTGTTATTGTCTTGTGGGTTAATTCGTGAGTTACTGAATGGACGTGTTGGTATTGAGTTCATCAAGTGGTGATAAATTTTCGCTCTTGGTGCTCTCGATTTCTTGGGTTTGGCCTGAATGAATGATTTGGGGTGATTAATCTATTGCAGAGGTGTATGATTACGTGCTGAATTAGTGACTGTATTCTTGAAGAAGCAGAATTTATCCAAGGCGCTGCTGAAGCAGGAGGGTGGTTCATATAAATGGATATGAGGACGGAAAAGAATATCAGATACCCGGAAAGATACTATGGCCATAGTTCCTTTCGTACTGGTGAATCAGAGGGCTCTGGAAGCTCGGGAAGAATTGATCCTGAAATTGCTGCTTCAGAAGTTTCTAGTACCCCAATGAGGAGATGTATCAGTTTTAATTCTGAAAGTTGTGAAGGTTTGCAAGTTCCCACTCGAGTTCTTCCCTTGACAAACTTATTGCAGTCTGAGAGGAAGGACTTGATTTATAGATTGAGAAAAGAACTTGAACAGATTCAGACCCTCGGAAAGAGAGTAGAATTGCTTAGAACGAATAGTTTTACAGTATCGTCTTCGAGTGATATTCTTAGCTGTAGCAATGGACGCGATGGGCCATCAGCTGAATACATTATGAATACCTCAAATTTGACTTCTGGGAAACAAAAGAAATCTAATGTTCCAAGCCAGAAGAAAGGGCAAGGAAGCAGACAGGTTGCTTCAGGTAGAGGTGAGTCTACCGTGCAAGCGTCTGTTTCCAACATCACCAATGCTACTTCAGCAGCTTTGATGAAACAATGTGAACAACTTTTGAAAAGGTTAATGTCGCACCAGTATGCCTGGGTATTCAACATGCCTGTTGATGTAGTGAAGTTAAATCTCCCTGATTATTTCACGGTTATTAAGCATCCAATGGATCTGGGAACCGTGAAGTCCAAGTTATCTTCTGGAGCATACTCAAGTCCACTGGATTTTCTTGCTGATGTGAAGCTTACTTTCTCCAATGCAATGACTTACAACCCCCCTGGAAATGATGTGCATATTATGGCTGATGTTCTCAATTCATATTTTGATATGAGATGGAAGGCTATTGAGAAGAAACTGCCCAAAACTGATGGTCATGCATTGCCATCAAAGTCTAGACCTCGGGAAGCTGTTGAGACTGTTAAGCACACGCCTCAAAAAAAGATGAAAGTTGCTTCTAGGCCCCAAGAAGTTACACCCATACCCACCAAGCGTGTGATGACAGACGAAGAAAAGCTAAATCTGGGGAGAGAGCTGGAGTCGCTGTTAGGAGAATTGCCCATGCATATAATTGACTTCTTGAGAGAGTATAGCTCTGGTGGAAGGGAATCCGGAGAAGAAGATTTTGAGGTTAACATTGATGATCTCAGTGATGATACACTTTTCAAATTGCGGAAGCTTCTAGATGATCATTTTCAGGAAAAACAAAAGAATAATGCCGGTGCTGAACCTTGTGTGATTGAGGTATTAATACCTATTCGACAATTGTGTTCTATTTTACACTTCGTGTGTATTTGACTGCTTCTGTATTAAATAATTTATTACTTTCAGTTGCAGATGCTGAATGACTCCGGAGTAAGCAACTCATCAATGCAACCATCTAAAGGTCTTAGGCCTTCCTTGATTTCACTAAGCATACTATCGACTTGATTTTCCTATAGCTCTTTACTCCTTTTTTTTTCTTATTGCAATATTAGGGAGTGGGCCAATTGATGAGGATATGAATGTTGGTGGGCATGAAGCTCCGGTTTCAAGCTGTGCTCCTTTAGAGATAGAGAAAGGTGCTGCTGACATCAAATGCACGATCTCAAGAAATTCAAAGGGTTGGTTAAGTTTTCCTTTTCTGTGTTCTGTGGTATTCTGTCTTTGCCATTTTGCGAGATCAAGATCTTTTAGCATTATACCTACTTATTGTAGTTATTGAAAGCACTTGAGGAGTCTCGTAATATATGTATTATAGCTAACAGATCCGTATGTTGGATGGGTTGATAAATGAGTGGAATGTCATCGTTTAATGTGCGGCCTTTGTGTTTTACAGATTCGGATATTTCTAGTTATGAAAATGATTCCGAGTGTGACAAAGCTTCAATCCGAGTGCACAAACAGGTGTTTTATTGATTAATAATTTGTTATCAAATGGGTGGCCTCTGGTCAATTTGAATACTTAGCTTTGTTGTTATTGTTTAATGGATGTCAGAGGTTGTTGATTTCTTGTTTTGGACTATCAGCAGGTTCCAGAAACCATTGGCTCCGAAGGTCCTATGATTGAAGCTACTACTTCGGATGGACCTCTTGAAAGGAATCGTGGGTGTTCTTATCCTTCTTTGTCATTCGTTTTAAGAAATTGGATTATGCTATAATTTTTTTTATCTTCATGAATTAGATAACTTTGTTCTGGCTGGACAAGTATTAAATATGAGCTTTTAGATTTTGTGGATATGGGCACGTTGAGATGTCATTTTCAAAAAATCTAGGATAGCCATATGAACTGGGCACTTTATTTATTAGACATTTAAAAAAGTTTCATGTACACTTCTAATCTTTGAAATTTAATGTCTCTAAACTTTAGATTGTACTGGTTTGTCTTTGTGCTTTTTCTTTCAATTTTGTAATTGCTTAGTTCCTAGCTTTAGCATGTAACAATTTAATCCAACATTTGTAACAATTTGAAATTTCCATCCAAAAAATATGTTCTTAAGATTTAATGAGATTATTTACATATGTTAATCGATAAATTAATTAGGGGCTGATTGTATGAATATATTACAAACACTAAGTCCTTTTTCTTGTATATATTAAACTTTTGGGACCGAACCATAAATAGTCTGTTGAAGCACTGCCAATGCATATATGTTTATATATTGTGGTTTTCAAGGAATGTGAAATTGCTCCGTTGTAACATTGTCAAAATCTATTTAGATCTCAATGGTGGCGAATCTTAAAATAATTCATTTTTCTTGACATTCATAGATTGTTTATTTTCTATTATAATGAACATTACTACTGATTGAAAAATTGGTAAGCATGCTCGAGTGTTTTCATGTATTCATTGTTTTGATTTTTCATGCTCGAGTGTTAGATGCATGTTAAACTCTAGCTGAACCAATTGAGTTGGTGTTTGAGTGTGACACTTATTGGGGTGCATGTCAAACACTTTTCATGCACATTAAGCATGTGTTTAAATGGCAGGATATCTTAGAATGTGAAATACATATAAGTATTATTGATAACTTCCTCAGATGTTAATTAATACCCTAAATGTTTTCTTGACAACTAAATGTTTACTCAATTAAGAATTTTATAAGTTGATTTGAATTCTTTTAGTATTTTGACATAAAACATTGTATTATAAATGCCGTGTCTTTGTTCATGTTTTTTGTGCCTCTTTAGGCTCTGAATGAACCCCCCCCCCCCCCCCCCCCCCCCCCCCCCCCCCCCCCCCCCCCCCCCCCCCCCCCCCCCCCCCCCCCCCCCCCCCCCCCCCCCCCCCCCCCCC